AGTGTATTTTTAATTAGATACGTAGGTTGTAGGGTTATTAAAATGAGAATTCATACGTGTTGTAACATCAGTAGGCGGGAAAACGTTTCTTCTTCTCCATATTCATCTTCAGCCTCCTGCCCTCCTCTCTCCTCTGAACACAACAGTTGGAATCAAGTGAATCAACATTCAAGTTGACGATGATGTTGTCCAAGTTGACGATGATGATGACCGTTTCGCGTATTTTTAGTTTTTATGATTAAGGATTAAGAATTTAGGACTTAAGTTCTGCCTTTTTTTATCACCATGCCTGAAGCTACTTTTAACTTTTGAAATTGACTTTTGACTTTTGAAATTGATGCCTTATACAATATGCAGGATATGGTTTTTTTAAGTATTTATATATAATTTCTATATTTTAATTTTTTTTTAATAATGGGCGCTTCGTATGCTCTAAGCGGGCGCTTTCGCTTAGCGCTTTTACTCCCAAAGCCCAAAGCGCTTTGAGGCGCTTTACGCTATTTAAAACCAAGGATTATGCCCTTTTCGCTGACTTGTAAGTGAGTTTGAACCATTGGACTGACCTTGATTTATTTGTTGCATAAATTGAGCTTCTAAACTACAATAACATCTCCTAATTGGTTGACATTGCAACAAAATTGTAAATGTAATGACATAATTGAAAAAAAAAACTCGGTATCAAAATCGAAATTTTATGGCAATATAGTGACTTTTTGCAATTTGAAACTCAGTGTCAAAATCGAAATTTTGGTAAACTTAGTGACTTTATTGCAATTCGGGAAAAGTGGTTACCGGGAAAACAGGGAGAATCGGTCATTTGGTTGATATTGCAACAAAATTGTAAATATAGGGACATAATTGCGAAAAAAATAACTCGGTGTCAAAATCGAAATTTTGTGGTAATATAGCGATTTTATTGCAATTTTCCATATATATATATATATATATATATATATATATATATATATATATATATAGATATAGATATATATATATCGATGCAAAACAGAAATTAGGTTTTAATGAACAAAGAAGAATGATAAGGAAGTAGATCTCATAACCACAAGGTTGGAGGTGATACAAATGTGTAAAATTATGAAAATATTTGAACATCTAATAATGGAATCCTCTCCCCCTTGTATTCTTCTTTGTGTATTGTATCCTCTAACCGACTTCAACTACTTTTCCCAAATTGCCCAAAACTTTTGGGCCTTGTATAATAAAGTTGTACAAGTCTAAGTTTAATGGTGTTTGGCCTAATGATTCGTGATTCCTATCATTACTCCCTCCATCTGAAAAAGTGTTGTTCCAAGAATTTGGTTGTTAATAAATAATAATGAATGCAATGCATCCAAAATAAATTTAGAGTTGCAGTTGTCCTGATCAATAAAGATCTTATGGCCATCCTCTTGCTGCTTGATGTTAATTCATGTGAAGGGTAAAGCCAACTCCCATTCCTTACCATATCCCTCTTATTATTCACTTTTCTTCTCATTTTCTCTTGTACCAATTTCATATACAATAACGTAAACTAGCGAAACGAATTGTACCTGGCAGGATGAAACATGCTTTCTAGTAGTATAACTTAACCAAGAAGTCTTGAGCGATAAGAGAATATGTAATTTGGGGCTTTTTGACTGACATTCAAAAGTTTCGTTGAATTTTTAAAAGTTTAATCTTCTGAGTTTTTGTATAGACAACTTAACCCATCTTACCCATAATCACATGAGGGAGGCGGTGGTTTCCCAAGACAAGAGTATACGTTTATGTTTAATTACTAGCTTCAAGCATATACGTGACGCGGAACTTAGACTTGTATTTTCTAGACGTTTGACTGGTTTACAAGGATAAAACTGGAAACTTGAGTAGATGAGGTTTTAAGTGTTTCTTGAGGAGAGATTGAATTAAGAAAGGATGACTTTGCAAAGGATTTAGTTGGTATGATTGTGTGAATTGTGATCAGCCTGAAGGCGTGTTCTTCCTTCCTACTGATCCATGAAACGAAGGCGGCAGGTCAATCATCAATGCCAATGCCAATGCAAAACAGAAATTAGGTTTTAATAACCAAAGAAGAATGGTAAGTAAGATTTAAGAAGATGATGAAATTGATTGAAAAGCTTAACACAATCAAAAGCTTGTTCCAGGGAATCCCCCTCTAAGGTTGGAGCCAATACAAATGTATCAAATTATCCCAGATTGCCCTTTTGGTTTGGGCCTTGTAGAATAAACTTGTAAAACTCTAAGTTTAACCTAGTGATTCCGGATTCCTATCATGTTCATGTATACTGTTAGATATCGAGTCGTGATCCCAAATGAAATGAATAGGTTCAGAGACGTATGTATGCCAATTGGCTGCTCTCCTCAAAATTTCTATATAAAGTGGAGTTTGAATTGGTAATTTGTGATAACAATTTTCAATAAATGTAGTTACTAACAGTGAAATGTAGAAAATTTATATATATATATATATATATATATATATATATATATATATATATATATATATCTATAATAAAGTGGCGGTGGCCCCACCCCACCCCACCCCACCCCAGTCTCTGAATATTTTGTTTCAGAAATCTCCATATGACTTTCCCACAGCTTCCTGGTTTTTTATGACAGCTCACAGCTGATAAGTAGCATCTTAAAATGTTTGTATCCAGGAATTGGAGATCAGTGTTCAAATAAAGGAATGACAAAGTTCACCCAGGAACTCAGCAACTTGTCCAAGTCCCAAGGATTTTGCATGTAAGCCTTCTGATGTACTTTTTTGTTGCTTGATTTTTGTTAATGGACAACAAGTAAAAGTAAAAGTAATGGTTTGATCCTTTGGTGGCATGTTATTCTTCTAATGGTGTAGTGAGATTGGAGATGGAGCATGGGATTCCTGGTTTATGCCACTACTAGAACAGGTACAGGCACAGCTCCTTCCTTGAGATGATGTTAACTTATCATCTTTTTTGTAATCAATCATATTACTTACACAAATCTTTTTATGTTTCCCAGACTCAACTTGTTTGCAACAAGGTGGAGATGATTTCTGTTGTTTCTTATCTTGTGACTTTTTGAGGCTGCTTCCACTTACTAGTCATTAGTCATTACATTTCAGGTCAAGAAAATGAAACAACTCAGTGATGGTTACAACATACTTGGGCTCTCCCAGGTGAGCTGGCTATCTGTTTTGCCTTCTGCACTCTCTCTCTCTCTGTGTGTGTGTGTGTGTATATAATTTTCCTCTGTGTACTTACAAATTACAATACAGGGTAATCTAATAGGCCGAGGAGTTGTAGAATTCTGTGATGGCGGACCTCAGGCAAGTCAAAGTTTTTTTTTTTTTTTTTTCTGGTAAGGTGAAAACACTTGCTAATCATTACATAAAAAACTGTAGGCATGTATGCCATAAATAAATAAATCTCTTCCCCTTAAAGGTTTGTTGGTGCATTTTAGCAGCTAATAATAGTTAATTTTGTGGGGCATCAACATCGAACATCAAACATGTGTACGTAGTAACTTTATGGTGATCTGGTTGTGATGTATTATATACACAGGTTAACAACTTAATCTCTTTAGGAGGACCTCATGCTGGTACAGCATCAGTGCCGCTTTGCGGTGTAAGTGCTATGCTCCATTTTGTTGAGATTATATAATATAATAATAATAAATAAACGAGGATTTATTATTAAATTGTTTTAATATGGTTTGGTGTTTGCAGTCTGGCATATTCTGCATGATAGCGGATGCACTTATCAAGTCAGAGGTTTATAGTGATTATATCCAGGTACGTACTTGCACTAGGGTATGATCTATATATATATATATATATATATAATATAGATATAGATATATATATATATATATATATATATCTGTTTGGTGCTAATAAATAATTTGGCAGGAACACTTGGCCCCCAGTGGTTATCTGAAATTGCCAAATGTAAGTCCATTACTACTAGTAGTAGTAGTAGTAGAATCTACATATTCTGTCTGTGAGTTGATTGTTTGTCTGGTTGTTTGTTAGAACATGGATGCATACTTACAACACTGCAGATTTCTTCCAAAGCTTAACAATGAGATTCCAGAAGAGAGAAACTCAACTTACAAGGAGCGATTGATGAGCTTACAAAATCTGGTGCTTATCATGGTATGTAACTATGTATGTATGTTGATGGTTTGTTGTATGTGTGTGTAATATGAATTCAGTATGAGTTGTGGTGTAGTTTGAGCAAGACACAGTGGTGATACCAAAAGAAACGGCTTGGTTTGGATATTTCCCAGATGGAGAGTTCAGTCCAGTTTTGGCTCCACAGCAGGTAGCTATACCATACACCTAACTCCTACTCCTAAGTCCTAACTAAATAACTATATGTATCTATGCCTTATAAATGAAGTGAAGGGGGTTTTGACTTTTGTTGTTTTTTTTTTTTTGACCGACAGACGAAACTTTATATTGAAGACTGGATTGGTCTGAAAGCACTGGATGAAGGTGGAAGAGTGAAGTTCATAAACGTGTCGGGAAATCATCTTGGGATTTCCGATAACGACATTAAAAAGCATGTCATCCCTTACTTGAAACAACATCATGATGATGATGATGACTCGTCATCAAACATCAAAGTCGAATTGGAGTTGGAGGTAGCAGGATATTCAACTTATACATGGCCACCATCAGTCAAAAGTTTTTTCAGCTATTTACTTGGACTATGATGAATGCATGGATTCATACCATCATATGCTTAGCTACAAAGTATGTGTGTCTGTAGTTCCTTCTCTCGGTTTTTGTCAAACATGTAATGAAGAACCCAACATGCTCTTCAGTCCCGCATTTCAAATACATTCATTTGACCATGTGAATCTTTTATTTATTTTTAAATATTTTATTTTCTCCATAATTGGGCAAATTTTCATATTACAACATGATACAAAATTAAGTAAAATCTCTAATCGAATAAAATTTGTGTAGTAAGTAAGCATTTTGTTTGTTAAAGCATATTATATATAGAGGTTTTTTGTTTTTCACAAGAATATGTACACAAAGCAAAGCAAAGCAGTAATTTTGTATGACATTAATTGTTTATTAAGATAGATGGAGATGGATATTTATGCGGACTGATTTTGAGCATTTGTGAGTTGGTGAGGCACAGGAGACTTGAAAACCTGGCCAAGGCCGCCTCACCAGCAACTCGAACCCGCCAAACCAAATTTAGCTCCAAACCATCTTTTTCTTCATCATCAACATTATTATATCCATCAACATCAGCTGTAGTTATCACAACTACAGAACCATCATCAAATCTGAATACACCTCTCGATACCATATCCATAACCATAACAGACCTTCCCAAGAAACTATTCCCCCAAATATCCCTTGAACCTTGTTGTTGTCTTTTCTTCACTTTCAGATGGTAATATTCCTCCACCGCCTGCATTGTTGTTTATTACAACATGATAAAAATTTCACATCAACCAAAGTGTGCAACTCACTCTTACCTGTCGCTGAGCAGACGCCAGCAGAACCCTAGGCCGAATTGACCTAACATACGCGTACGCAGCATCAGGCGACATATGCCTATGCTGAACCTGTTACTTGTAATACAAATAAACCTTCAAAAAATAGGTATGTATGTATGTATGTAATGAAATTTACACTCCACTCACCAAATAACATATCACAATGGTTGTGCTGCGTCCACGACCAGCTTTACAATGCACATATGTACCCTGCTTCGCAAGCGTCTTCCCTTTACAACAACAATAACAACATTTTGATCACCAACATGATTTACCCATTCGAATCAACAACACAAGACTGCATTTACCATGGATGAAGTTTACGGCTTCACATATATCATCAATTGACGGAGCAAATAGGTAGTCCCTTGTTGGAAGCACTAGATGATCAATGCCATGGGCCTATACGTAACATATAAATTAATTGCAACTCATACATGTATAGGTTTGTATGTGTGTAGAGTGTATGGCATCAATCACAAATATAGCATAAAAAGGAAGATGAAAAGTTGATTATAGGAACAAAAAGAGATGATTACTTTGTATAAACACGTAGGGACCAAAGTCTCATATGGTTCATTCAGGGTTATCACTCCATCAACACCAAGGTCCTTTAGTCGTTTCACGTCTCTAGGAAATGGAACAGCACCTAGCAGCAGAAACTGTATATTGCAATTTGCAGCAACTATATAAGATACAACACAAAAATACAAAACCCAGAATTTGTATCCAGAAATCACAACTTCAACAAGGTACACCACAAAGTTACAATATCTTGTCTACCTCATGTCTGTATTTTAGTGAAAGGAGACCACCATAATTACCATCAGAAGATTATGAGAACTGAAACATAACTTACAATACAGATCCACGACTAGCTAGTTTTACTAACATTATGGAGATACCAAAAAGCGCAATAAGTTTTAGCACATATTAAACAACAAGAATACCTCCTCAATCTGATCCCACCACCGAAAGTCGGCCTGAAATTTGTTTCTAACAACATTGTATACGAGTGTCGGGTAAAACAACGCACGAGCACCCGCTCCTACCAGAACCCTCTTAGAACCAGACAGCCCAATAGCCCCTCCGCTCGCCACTACAGAAAAAATCTCCTCCTGCTCCTCCTCCCTCCCCCCTGATGACTCGCAAACACCCTTTAAATCTTCGATATACATAATCACCTCAAAACAGTATCCTCCTGACCACACCAACAAGTCAGGATTGTATCCTTCCAAATTCACAACAACTTACTCCGACAAACATACGACAACGTAATCCTTCAATTCATTAACGTCATATATACGGAAACTTGAAGATCTACAACTACACGTCAACACTCCAGATGGCCAAGATGATCATAGGAAAAGCCAAATTAACTTGCCAAAAATCACAGCTACGCCTTTCAAAATAGACAATCGGTCAACGATTTTCACACCAAGAACTACGCAAAACTTGATATCGCAATCGAATAGATGAACCCTGAAACACGACGAAATGAGAATGACAGAGGAGATGTAGCATCGATTTAGTAAAAAGCACTTAAGCCCTAATTTCAAGGTTTCGAATATTTGAAGTTATCAACTCGTACTTTTTCCACATTTTAAGAAAACGGAGTCACGAAGCTAATAATTTGGAATTGATTACCATAGACCCCCTAAAACTATATAACTATGTCATATCCTCCCCCTCCTAAAAATATATAAGCCTTGTGTCCAAAAATATTAGGCTAGGCGGAGTGGAGTGGGGAAGCCTCGGTGAACATCATGCCACCAACTCGGCATGCCGAATTCAATGGCTATACTCGGTGAATGTAATCTGATGAGAGAGAGCTGCTATTTTTCTTTTTTCTTTTTACCATTTAATCAATTTTCACATTTTCAAAAACACCCTGTATTAAAAAAAAAAATACCCCTTTTCAAAATATAATCGTTTTTTTTTTTCAAAATTTCAAAATTTAAACATTCCATCATCTACTATAAATACCAACATCCATCTTCATTATTCGCCACATTCAACCCTTCTTAATTCAACTATCTTAACTTTTTTATTTTCTATCTTCTTCAAAACTTCATCTCTAAAAAATGGCTCGTGTTTGGTCAATGGATGAAGATATCATATTGGCTCGTTCATGAGTTGATGTAACTAAACAACCAATCAACATTAGCGTCGATACGCCTACTTTCTAGAGGAGAGTCGCTGAAAGATACAATCGTGAAGTCGGTCAACCTCAAAGTACAAATCAACTCTTCTCCAAATAGAGAAATGTAAACACAGTTGCAATGCAGTTTAACAATGTCTTTCATAGGGTGAGTCGTGAAGCAGTGCATGGTGAAAGTGAAAATATTTTGTTTGTCAATGCTCTTGAGGCTTTCCATGAAGAAACTAACAAACCTTTTCGGTTTGTTCAGTTTTGGGAAGTTGTGAGGCAAGTGCGACAAATGACGTCAACATTGCGAATGAACTAGTGGCTTGTGTGTTTTTAAACTATATGTTCAGTGTCTTTTAATTTCTAGTGTCTTGTGTGTTTTAATTCCTAGTTGTCTTATGTGTTATTTTAATTTCAAGTGTGTTGTAATTTCCTTTCAAGTTAATGAAATTTAAGTTTTTATAAAAAATAATTTGTTTAAATTGAGTATTTTTTTTTTTATATAAATTAACTTTAGAAAGAAAAAATAGTATGACAAGCGTGACAACCCATACTCTCTAAATGACAAACTTTTGAAGCAATTTGACAAATCCTACGTGGCGCCTACGTGTATTGTGCTAAGTGTGACACCACTCCCTCTCGCCTTAAGCTGATAGGTGTATCTCTGCGGCTCCACCGTACCATGTGGTAGATGTCATCTACAATATTAGACCGAAAGGTATAACTTCACGACTTCATCGTACTATGTGGTTGATGGGTTTTATAGGCTATAATTAAAACATGTGGCGGAAAAACTTAAACCTTAAGTCCACATGCAACCTATTTGGATCTAAGTTTTCTCTGTTGATAGCAACAATCTATGAACATCAAGAACCCTAAAGAAACCCTACTATAATCGAAAATTACAAGGGATTAGGGTTTACATACCTTTTGATTATTATTGTAAATAATCAACCAAATCTTTCTTCAAAAAGCTATTAGAAAGCAAGCACCATAAATCTACTGTATCTGATGGTTTGTACCCAAACTCTAACAATAAGAACACTTGAGAAGAGAGTAGAGAGGATGAGATTTTTGGCTATTCCTTTGGTATCAAAATGGTGGCTGAAAATCATAGGGCTAAGGTCTTATTTATAGCTGATAGGAAAACCCTAGATAACCCTAATTTGAAATAAAATAATATTATTTCAAATCTTGACTTTATCTAGTTTCCTTATTATCTATATTATCCATATAGAATAATATAGAAACCCAGACCAACCAAATTTCTGTCAACCCTAGGAATATTCAAGAATCATTCTCTTATTCAACTATTGAAAAACTATAACTTAGGTCCTTGCACTTTTAATTAAGCCAATTAATCCCAAAACTATTTCCAGTTAATTTCTGATTAATTATTAATTACATAATACTATTTCTAATTAATATATTAATAAACCATTTATTTCTATTTATTAATCACAAAATAAACCAATAAATCAGTTTTGAGGGCAACCCAAAAGGACTTTGCTTTTAATTCAAGTATATACCAATTTAGTTATTGGCTTAGACACTTAATCCAACAGTCTCCCACTTAGATAAGTATATAACTACAATTTCAAGTATAACTTCTAAATCAAACAACAAAGTGTGCTTTCCAAAGCAACTGTAACGCCCGTAGATCCGGGCTAGTCAATTTAGAGACGATAAGCGTCAAAAATGACTTTTTGATAGAAGAGTGTTTAGAATAAATAATCTTAACCAAGTTGTAGTATGTGTCACAAGGTTTACGTACATATAAAGAACGCTGAAATCCGAGTTATAACGAAGAAGTTATGACCTGTCGAAGCTTCGCGACAGATTCGGCACGACGCTGTAAGACGTAAATAGTGAATTTACGATAGAGCGATATTTAGTCTTAGTGATCTAAACAAAAGTCGTAGAATACGTTAAACCGAGAGCGTGCATAAAAAGAACGTATAAATCTGACTTCGTATGAGGAAGTTATGATTTTTCGAAGTTTCGAATTAGCGGTATGCAGCCCAAAGTTCGAATATGAGATCGAGTGGTTTCTAGCCGAAACAATCTAAAAGAGAATCAAAGATCTCGTCGATAGTAGTCCAACGGTAAAAAGACAGACGAAAACGGACGTCAAATGAAGGAGTTGTGAATTCCTAACGGAGTTTTCCTGTCCCGGCCTACTAAAAATAATATAATAAAAGTTAAAGTCAAAATTAGCCGACAGAGTCTAAACGAGAGTTGTAGAGCATAATCTCATCTACGCATGCATATAAATAACGTCGAAAACGGAGCTCGTATGCGAAAGATATGAATTTCTGAAGTTTGGGGCACGAACCCCGACACTGTGTCAGAGTTCACGACGTGAACACAGTGTTCACGACGTGAACTCAGTAATAACGTCTTCTGGAGCCTGACAGACCCAAGTTGCGATGACGCACCTGATGAAGACTGAACTCACGACGTGAATATTTGAGATTCACGACGTGAATCCAGAAAATGGCCCTATAAATAGAAATCGAAGGCAGCTGGTTTTGGTTGCTAATTTCTCAACCTCTCTCCTAACTTTTCTCATCATTAAGCCTACTTTATCCCCCCCCCCCCCCCCCCCCCCCCGAAGTCTCGATATCATCCCGAGACCCGAAGCGAGTCCCGAAGCTCCGAAGATCCCGAGAAAAAGGGTTTTCGAGCCGAAGCTCTGCCCGCGAGAGGCCCGGTTTTTGGAGAAAACATCCCGATTTCATCGAAGAATATCACTTGAAGAGTCGTAGTGCTGTCCGACAATCGTCTTAACATGTGAGTGCATAGTCCCTTTCATGAACATGATTTTAATACAAGTATTGTTTGAATGTATTAAATATATGTTTTGTGTGAGTTATTTGATGATGTCTGAATTAAGTGTTAAAGAACATACCTGATTGTTTATGATAACTTAGGTTAAAGAGTAAACCTAAGGTTTGTTATAATGGTTATGGGGTAGCATCTCTTTATGAGTACGAGTGAGATATATACGGAGAATAGAACTTTAAAATATGTCATTGATCCGGAAGCATGGATTAGACATAGTTATTTGTCCCTAGTCCGAGAGTATGGATTGGACTTAGTTAATTGTCATTAATCCGGGAGTATGGATTAAGACCTAGTCAGTTGTCATTAATCCGAGAGTATGGATTAAGACATAGTCAGTTGTCCTTAGTCCGGGAGTATGGACAGGACATAGAATCTGTCATTAGTCCGGGAGTATGGATTTAGACATAGACCAATTGTCCCTTATCCGGGAGTATGGAATGGGCACAATCATGGACTCGAGAATATGGATTAGATCCGGGAGTAAGAATTGAAATTTAAGGTCCAAGGGTATGGATAGTCTCGTTGAGAGGATTGACGGGGTGGGGTAAGAGTTGGTTATATATATATATATATATATATAGATATATATATATATATATGTATATATATATATATATATATATATCTATATATAGAGAGAGAGAGAGAGAGAATTTTATATTGTGTGAATTCTAAATTATATATATATATATATATATATATATATATATATATATATATATGTTATAATATTGTGGGATTGAAATCCCTATGTACTCACCAGGTTTCCCAACCTGACCCACTCAATATTTTTGTATTACAGGTATCGATACAAAGACACATTACACTGAGAGATTAAAGAGATGTATATCATTAGTGTAGATGAATGTAAGTTCGGTTTATGCTTATGTGTCTGTATTGACCGGGACATCCCAAATGTTTTAAAACGAATAAAATACATCTCTTCGGAGATGCTTGGATAAAGTATTTATCATGTTTTCTGGGAACAAATTTCGCAACAGTTTTCTTTAAAAGATTACTCTGATTTTAAAACAAAGCATAAACAAATCGGTCTTTTCTGGCCGTGATTTTGGGGATGTCACAACAACTGTCAGACTCTGATCTGATCAGGCATCAACCCTAAGATAAGTGATAAGATACTCCTACGTTCTTCAAGATATCGTATGGACACAAGACATGGATTACAATCAATCTCTTGTCCAAAATTCTGTTTCCTGATTTCTTGATTTGTGATGACCTCATAAGACTACTAATTGAGCACATCAATGCAGTCTTGGCTGGGCCCAACTCTATAATGTCAACACCAAATCATCGAGGGCCCCAAAGATATCGCTTTTCCCGTTAGGGCAAAAGGAACGAATAAACTTTGACATATATTCTTATATCCTTTACTCACCAAATCATACATCACACTACGTTTTATAACATCACATTACTGATGCATTTACGTAACACCAATGTACAACCGACTTGTAAATTACAACTCATATATCGATGTTTAAGAATATAAGATATTATTGTCTCAAAATTACTCGTGAAAGAATCCATGAAGTATTTCTCTGAGCATGGGTTTATCCAATAC